GACCGACTGTGTACCCTATCTGTGCCATACAGCAACACTCCTTAACATTGACGAGTGCACCACGTGTAGAACACGCATGGAGAACGCGTAGCTCACGCTTGAAGTTCGTATTTTTTTTCGCCGCGTACAGCAGTACCGCTTTTTTTTTTGTGTGTTTTTCACAAACCACCGCGTGCATTCGTAGATGACCAGGGGGCGGGAATTCGCAGAGAGAACGTGTGGCGCACGACCACGTTCGTTTTTTTGGCCACGTACAGCAGTACTACTTGGTGTTCCTATACAGATGCCTAGGGCGGGGGGGGACGCAGAGAGACCGTGTGGCGCACGACCAAAGTTTGTTTATTTTTATCCACATACAGAAGTACCGCTTGTTTGTTTTTGGTCGGTATGTTTTTCACCAACCACCGTCTGCATTCGTAGATGCTTCGGAAACAACGTCTCCTCACGACGCTAACGTAGTCAAACACAACGTTAAAAACGTTGTGAACGAGGATCCATTCCCGATATGGTTCTCCCGGGCTGTGGGAGTTGACCGTCTACGCCATGATGCTGTTCAGCCAACACTGCCTCCCTAGAGACAACATCGTGAAGTCAGAATAAAAACAAACATATCTGTTACCATCTCGCATCACACAACTATGACATGAAAGCATTCCCTCACACAGGGGGGAGGATGCTCACCCTTACCCTACACGCCAAACGTTATAAAATATATGCGTTTGGAAACCTACATTATTCTTCGACATGTCTGCAATTCGAATTTTCTCGCGCAAGAGATGTACAACGCAGGAATGACACCCGAACAAACGACGTCATGAAAAGCGACAAAACTTGTCGAAACAACACGAAATCTTACCGGACACCACCCGTAGATTACCCCGGTTCATGATGTTTGTAACACATAAAACACGACTTCCGCAAAATTGCCTCCACGTCCTCGTAGAGGCGCATGTGGATTTTGCGCCCGACCCTCCCCCCCCGAAAAAAAATATATATATCACCCTCCCGTGCGCCTTCCCTTCCCTTTTACCCCCCCCGCCCTACCCCACCAGATGCGTTGCATTCCCGACCACCATTGTCCATATCCGCCGCCCCGGCCACGGCTCACGCTCCTCAAAGGCCACCACGGCCGCATTTGCCTCGTCTCGTCCATCATCCACGCACTACGTCCTTGGGACCCACCCTCCACCGCAGCCCGCCCGCGTTCGATTCCTTACGTCTTCCTCGCTGCGTTGCGCACCAAGTTGTGCTTGGGCGGTACTGGCTGGCGCTTGTTGTCCAGCATCATCGTGATCCCCTTGCGCGTGGAGACTTCGCCTGACCTGGTCGGTTTCTGCGCGTCCTTGGTGTCCGCCAACGCAGACACAGCCACACGCCAATCTTCAACCTCACACTGCGAAACCTGTTCAAAACTTCGCCTCGTACCTGATTCTAAGTCGGAAGCTACTCCGGGCAAGCCCTCGCAGCGCTCGCCTCGGATTCCCACGACAGCCAAGGCCCGGGACGCCATCTCCCTATGACCTGGCTGCTGTTGCGGCCTCTCAGCTGGAGCCGACACAGGAATTGGCCCCGCCAGCGGGCGGAGCCCGAACCCCTAGTTGCTGCCACCCCGCACCACCACGGCCGACGACGAGCCGCCACCGTCGCCACCGTCAGCCTGCCCTCTTCCACGGGAGACGCCGCCCCCCTGACCACCAACCGACGAGCGCCCCCGTCCACCACGACTCCCGCCCCCACCACCGCCAATTCCGGTACTTGACGAGTCTCGGCGCTTGCTCAAACCTGTATTTGTCGCCGAAAGTGCACGTGCCAGAGTCGCGGAACTGGAAGCACTTCCTCGAGACGCGCTTCCGTGACGATGAATCACCCCGATCCAGTTGGCCCGCCTTACGCTTGCCGCTCCCGCCCCGCGACCTTCCTGTCCCGGGGAGGGATCCCCCTTCACTCAGGATCAGCCGGAATAGGTTCACCCCCCGTTCACAGAAGTTCTTGATGTTGGAGAACTCGGGCACCGGCGGCAAGGTGTGGCCGTCGAACGCATCCGGCGAAGAATGCATCTTCGTGAAGGGGTACATCCAGGTGATGATCGCCGTTGTCCACAATTTGAAGTCCTCGTTCAGCAAACTCGGCAGTGCCACCCGCTAGTACTCGTCCGGAAACACATCACTGTTCCGCACGAGAGTAGTCCGAAACCTGGATCGCGCGTCCGCCATGGCTGTGGCGATGGGTTCCAACCGCTGCAAAGATTGCGCACCCGCGGTCGTGGACGAATCGAGGCCAAACTTCAACAGCCGCATCACCGCCTCACACGTTACGTCGAAGTTGTCTGCAATAGACGACGTTCGGGCGACCCCCACGGGCCGGAAGCTCTTGACATCAAAAGATGAAAACGCACGCATCTGGGCGAGGACGTCGCCGGTGACTTGAACGATATCGCCCATCAAACCCTGCAGGTCCTCCTCCTGTGGCCCGGGCTCCGGCCCCCGCTGCCCCCGAAGTACCCACAGTGTCTGATTACATTTGGCTTGCCAAATGGTGGCCTCCCTCCTCGCCGCCTCTTTGGCGTTGCACCTCGCGGGCGCACTCGCCCCCCTGCCCGCGCCCCCGCCGCACGGCGACTGCACCGGCACCATACCGAGGCCTCCCGACTCCCCAGGCCCACGACTCCCATCCTGCCCCGACTCCGGCCGGAAGTTCTTCAGCCCCAGCGATCTCGGTAAGCTGCGCCACCATGTTCACCTGACCTTGTTCCAGACATTATTTTTTCCGCATTCTTAGACGCGAGCGGGGTGCCCTCGCTAGGCTCCCCCTCCCCCGCCGCACCCACCAACACATGGGCCAAACGCGACAAGATGTGGGCCTGGACTGGGTCATCCGCACGCCGGGACTCCGGCTGGCGGTCACCGCCGGAAGCCGAGGCCCGAGGGTGACCCTGAGTCGGAAGCCCAACGCTCTCTGCAGCACCAACATCTGCCGTGGATTGCGTATTTGAAGCCACGTCGCCTGCGGTTGAATCCACTCCACCTGCAGCAGCCCTCATAGCCGCCGCAATATCGCCCGCCACAACCTGAGACGGGGGAAACGAACCCCCTCCCGTCCCCAACGCCGACTCGGCCTGACCGCCAGGAGTTCCTTCATGGCGGATGACACCAAGGCGTTCCTCCGTCTCCTGCAACTTGTGCTCGGATGACATGGCCCAATTTGATGCAACCGAGAGCCAACAAGATTCAACCCTCCAGTTTCAGCCGATAGGTGAATGCCCCCAGACGCCCGCGCCACACGGCCCGTAAGAGTCCCTGCTCGCGGGAAGAGAGCAGCACGCAGCCCACGCAAGGACATGGATCTCCTCCGAAATACCACTTGGCTGCAGCAACCTCCCTCGTGCTTCCTTGGGGCAGACCAACAAGTGCCCCCAAGTCTACTCTTCTAGTCAGGTTTCAGACGCTCCACGCTGACTCCATGCTGCTGCTCTCTGATTGGCCGACAGATATTTCATCTTTCGCTCCTCACAAAACTCAGATTTCAACGCCTCTGTCTCTGCAATCTTCTGCTTTCTGTCGTGCCCCACCATCCTCCTGCGGTGCGTGCTGAATTTTATTATTATTGAGAGAAAAGTCCAGCCGTGCCTTCCCTCGTCAACGGTCCTTACGTCGAAGTTTGGTGCTCACGAGAGCTGTTCCAGCCATATTTCGCTTCCATCCGCATATTTTGTAATTGTTTCATCCCACGGGGATTCGAACCCACCACCTTTGCGACTAGCAGTGTACGAGGATACCACTTGACCACCGCGGCGAACGGTGCAACACCGATCGACCTTGTGGTGACTTTACATTTTCACGGCCGCGTACATGGGGACCACACGGCGACCGATCATCCTGTCCAGCAACCCAGGCCGTATATTTCCGCCGAAAGTTTCCTTTCACAAAAACGCAAAGGACGAGACAGTTCCAAATAAAGGTGGTCCGCAATTAATTGATTGGCTTATTTTTTTTAAGACCGTTCCACAGAAGAATCGGCAAAAAATCCCTGGTCGTTCGATGTCGGCATCCACGATGACGAAGCCGCATGTTTCCTCTGAGATTCACAATTCTCAAATTTTCGAAATTGCCGCTGATGAGCAATGATGATGAGGATTGAGTCGATGATGTCGCCAGCTGATGGATTGACCTTCTCCGGTCAGCACAACGGTAACACCGGGGCAGCGCCGAGAGCGGCATCCTTTGCGAGGCTACTGAATGGTGCAGCACGCTAGCCAAAGCACGTCCGATCGTTTTCGTGTGGTGGGTGGTTTGGACTGTGCTGTGGACGACTCTAACAACTAAATGTACCTGCCGCTATAGTTCTTCTCCCGAGCAGAGAAAGATGTTGGTGTTGTCTTCACATTAAACCGTATGTCAGTTGCTAAATGCCAAAATCTAGCAAAAGACTCTCAGCCCGTGGTCACGAAAGTGCTACAAGACCCATCTGAGGATCTAAAGAACACGCACACATAAAACGAGAAAAAGGTATCCAAGAGCCCGAAGCGGTACACCTAAGAATCCCTGCAGCACCGTATGAGTGCCCAAAAACTGAACTGCACGTCCGTCCCACCNTGTCAGAATGTCTCTGCGGCCGTACAGTGGAAAAGAACAACCAACCAAAGCCATCATAGCAGCAATTGACAATCACCCGAATCTCTCCCGATCGTCTGTGT